ATCCATCCTCACTACAGGATTGCTTCCTTACAGGAATGCTTGCCGGAATGTTCTGTGCATGTTCATCTGGCTCCAGGCTGTGCTCGGAGGGAGGTCTGCTGAGCTGTGCCGGTGGCGGCAGATCTGGGGCTGTCATTCCAGGGGACGCCACAGTGGGTCCGGCTTTGCCTCGGGGTCACCTTGTGTGTCTGTGAGGTTCCAGGCGCCGTGTTTTAGTGGCAAGGGCCCTGCAGCCCCCAGCAGGAACTGGCGAGGGACGTGGACGTTTGCTTGTTGGTTCGCTCATTAGATTTTCTGAGCATCTAGTAAGCACCAGCTCCGTGTGGGCAAAGATCAGCATGTGACGGCAGGGGTCTGACTGAAACCCAGATGGAGGGGTTAGCATTTCTCATTGAGTCCTGAGAGACAGCCCAGGGGCTCCTGTTCAACTCCCAGCTGAACCAAGAGAGTGAGAACCCTGCCTGGGGATGAGAACAAGACTCCCCTGGCACCTGGGTGGCTCAGTCGTTAGGCGTCTGCCTTCGGTTCCGGTCATGAACCCGGGGTCTTGGGATCGAGTCCCGCTTTGGGCTCCCTGCTCGGCGGGAAGCCTGCTTCTCCCTCTGCCTGTCCCCCTGCTTGTGCTCTCGCTCACTCAAATAAATAAATAAAATCTTTAAAAAAAAAAAAAAGCTTCCCTGGGGTGTGGGCCTCGGGGTCTCTGTGTGAGTCAGCTGCTGCTGCTGCTGCTCCCCAAAGGGCCTGTCAAAGTTGACAGGTCGGGGTGGCTGGGGCTGAGCTGAAGGGTCTTGCCCTGGTTCTGGGCCTGGCTGGGCCTTCCCCAGGGGCTTCCTAGAGCAGCGCGAGGCCCTCACATGGCTCGTCATCCTGAAGTGAGTGGGGAAGGTGGGAGCCGAGAGGCCCAGGCACCCGTGGTCTGCACCTCAGAAGCTGGGCCTCGGGCTGCGACTGGCAGCCTCTCAGCACCGCGGGAGAAGGCCCAACGGGGCAAAGGGCCAGTGCCCTCGCGTGTGGGTGCATGTGTGTGCGTGCGTGCACACGCGTGTGCCCCCCTCCACGTGCAGCACGGGGGGCTCCGCGCTTCCCGACTCTGGCACCTGGCCTCCCGCCCCGTCCCCGTCCCTACACAGTCACTCCCTTCATAAATTCAGCCTGGACCTGGTTTCCATGGAGTTCTGATAAAAACTGGAATTCAAATCATAATTGGGGCAGTGGGAGGAGGGGGAGGGTGTGGGGGAAGCTTGTCCCGTGCTCAGGCTCCAGCGGCAAGCCCAGGCTGACGGCTGTGTTTTCCTTCCTTTGAGCGTATGTTTAAACGTATAGAATTCCCTCCCAAGCCCTCCTCCTGTTGCGATGGTAATAGGCCAGGATGCCTCCAGGAGAGCCGGGAGGGTGGATTCCTCTCCTGTGCGCAGGGGCAACGGGTATCCAAGCTCAGGAAACTTGCAGGAGGGGCTTGTCTAGGGCTCTGGACTCATGGGAAAGTGGCAGGACCTGTGGTTACGGTTGCAGACTGCCTGCCCACTGTCCCCCAACTTTTCTCTCCTTGGCTGGCCTGAATTCTACCATTAGCGTTTCATTCCTTTGGATATTCTTGTGTGATGTCAGTGCACCTATTGGAGCTGGCCAGTGAGCCCCTCACCCTGGGAGTGAAGGGGAGTCCTGAGACACCCCTGCTGACGAGGGGCAGAGTTGGGAGCATCCGGAGCCTCACACCTCCTCCCTGTGTGCCAATCAGAATATGGAGCAGCAAGTCAGCTTAGAGAAAGCCAGGCCTTGAGGAGCAGTTAGCAGGTGAACGAGTGAGTGAGTGAATGACCAAAGGGGAGGGCAGTCCTGGGCCTCTGCACCCAGCAGCTGAATCAGAGTGAGTGAATGAATGAAGGGAAGGGCAGGCATGGGACTTTGCACCCAGCAGCTGAATCAATGAGTGGGTGAATGAATGAAGGGAAGGGCAGGCATGGGACTCTGCACCCAGCAGCTGAATCAATGAGTGAATGAATGAATGGAGGGAAGGGCAGGCATGGGACTCTGCACCCAGCAGCTGAATCAATGAGTGAGTGAATGAATGAATGAGTGAAGGGCGGGCATGGGACTCTGCACCCAGCAGCTGAATCAATGAGTGAGTGAATGAATGAAGGGAAGGGCAGGCATGGAACTCTGCACCCAGCAGCTGAATCAATGAGTGAGTGAATGAATGAATGAGTGAAGGGTGGGCATGGGACTCTGCAAGAGAAGCTGTTGCAGGCGCAGGCCCCCGCGTCCTGGAGCTTCTGCGCATGCACACGGGGAGGGCTGGGCTTGGCAAGCTGGCCTCCAGGTGTGCGGTGGTTCTGAGGCTAGCCGGCCCCTCCAGCTGAGGACACTCGAGGAGGCGGGACAGAGGGCCCTCCCTGCAGCCCCAGAGTCCGGGACGATGCTGCTCGTCCCCCAGTCTAGACTCCGTGGGGACGCTGCCAGCGAGAGGTGAAGGCCTAGAAGGGGAGGCCGGAGAGGAGACAAGGGGGGCAGCTGTGTCAGGGGACGGGTTCCCAAGTGTCCCCCCAACCGCTGACCCCTGGCGGGAAGCCGACTTCCTTCCCTCAATTTTCTGGGCTGGCTGGAGGGGCCGGAGTCCACCACTCACAGGACCGCGCAGGCCCGTCATGAGGCCTCCTCTGTGCCCAGCCCACGGAGCGGGAAACGGGCTCAGGGCGGGCAGGGTGTTGGTCACACAGCCAGTGTGGACCCGGGCCTCGAGGGGACCCCATGGCGTATGGGGTCTTCTGCACCAGTTCCTTCATCTTCTGCTGCTTTTTGACGTTCCAGTGGGGCAGGACTTGAGTTGGGGGGATCGGGGTCCCTAGTCCCCCAGCCTTTGGGAGACGTGACCAAAGCCCGCGTGGTTTGGGTACAAGGGTCCCAGAGCAGGGCTGTCTGCTGCGCCTGTAAATGCCTGCTGAATAAATGCGTGAGTGAACGAACGGGTGCAAGCAGGCCCCCCGGCCCCCGACAGAAGACTCCAACCGTGGGGGCCACAGTCTCCTTTATTGAGAGACTCAGGGCTTTGTTCTTGCCGACGGCGGGATGTCACGGTGAGGGCTGGGGGCATGTCTGTGTGAGCGACATGAAGGGCTTTCCGCATCACTACTGACCAGCCACGCAGGCAGCTGGCTGCTGAGACCGGCTTGGGGGGGGCCACAGGGGGACGCGGCCAGCCGCTGACTCTACGGGGCCGTGCATCTGACTGCACGGAGTGCGCACAGGGGAACGTGGGGACAACAGTAAAATGGGCTGGGGGCCGCAGTATAGACCCTGGCCCAGCTGCGTCTAGGGGGCCCTGGGTTAGTGGGGGTCCCCATCCCTAGGTGATCTGCCCCCACCCCAGGGAACCGTCTCTTCCGTCCATTCCGGGCTGGGTCCTCCAGGACCGGCACCGTCAGCCCCGCTGAGGGGGCTGAACGACCACGCGCACTCGTCAGGGGGCAGAACCGAGGCTCCGAGGATCAGGTGTGCCTGAGGTGCCGGCGGGGGAGGGGGTGTCTGAGGGCGTGTCACGAGGAGTCTAGGCCCTTGCTCTGATGCCCACTGCCTGGGCCTGGCCTCAGCCCTTGCCGAACTGATGCCCACTTGCTGCCTGCCCGGCAGGGCCCAGCAGTCCCACTCACCCGCCCAGAGCAGGTGCCTGTGTGTGAGATCTGGGCGGGCCTCATCCCCCGTGCGGGTGGCCCCCAGGTCATGGGAGGGTTGCCTGGCCACAGACCGGCAGTGGGCCGACTGCCCGGGAAAGGTCCTGTGGCTTGGAGAATGATCCTGTGGGGTTCACGTAGGGGGCCCTGACCCAAAGCCACCGTGGAGACTGGACTCTCCAACTTGTCATTTTTGTGGGTGGGGGATCGAGTCCTGGTGCCCTGGGACTCAGACCAGACCTCCTGTGTCCTGAGTCAGTGCAGCTCACAGCCGTCGGCCTGACAGTCTCCCTTCAGGACGGTGAGAACCTACTTTAAAAAACCTTGCATTTCATTTTCCAGGCCCTTCTGCCACTCCCAGTCAGTTTATCCAGGGCAGCTCATCTGGGATCTGCTTCCCCGGGCTCAGGGGACCTTCTAGGGCCAAGACCAGGACAGGCCATCCTGTCTGGAGACCGGCTCTTACAGATCAAGGAGGCGCCTGCCTTTCTGGGTGCCCGGGGCTCGGTGTGACCTACGACGCTGGCCTTGGCCTGGCTGCCTGCGCCCAGGCTCCTCCTCCTCACCTGTGGCTGAGGCCCTGCAAATGACACCTCTGTGGGACCCAGCCATCGCCTCTGCCCTTCAGGGAGCCCCCCTTCTCATCAGGAAGCTCACCCGCGCAGCGGGAGCGAGAGTGCCCACGGGGATGTCCCCGGCCTGGCTTGGGCTGCTGGGTGGGTGTGAGGACGCAGGACTCCGCTGGCCTGGCCTCTGCCAAGCACGAGGACCTCCCGGCCAAGCCCCCGGTGGCCGGCGTCGCTGCAGAGCCTGGTCGTCTTGGCGAGAGGAGGAGGGAGAGGCCTGGGTCTGCCGGTGTCTGACCCAGCCGACCCCTGGGCTGTCCTTCGGGGCACATCAAAGCTTCCCGGGAGGCTGGATGCCCTCCACGGCCCCGCCAGCGGACTCTGCCCAGCGCCCCCGCCTCTCGGGGCCCCCGCCTTCCCTGGACCGCCCAGCCAGGTCTGTGCCTTTCATTTCTGTCCTCTGAACACCCAGTGGTGTGGGAACAAAGAAGTCTGCCTTTCACCCACCACTAATTTCTCCTCATTAAAAGCCCTTTCTGGATCCGGAGAGGAGCAATCTCTCCCCGGCTTTCAAAGAGGCCCTGAGGGAGGGGTAGGGCGGGCTGAGGGAGACGCTGAGAGAAATGGGGGCCCCTGGGGGTGGGCGCCAGGTCCGAGGCCTCTGCGGAGCCCCATTCCTGCCCCGGGGCTGGGGGGGCCGCGGCGCGGGGGGGGGGGGGGGTGGAGGCCAAGCGGCGCCGCCCCCTCCTCGGGGCCCCGCCCGGCTCTAATACAGCGTCTCCCGAGTGACGTTGCTGGAGAAGGTGTGGTTGCTGGACACGCTGTTGGTCTTCCTGGAGAAGGCCGGCCTCCCCCTCCTGCGCCCCCACAAGGGACAGAGGCCGGCCAGCGTGGACAGAAAGGCCTGGCGGAAGTTGGCGGAGACCAGGTTGTAGAGGATGGGGTTGATGGTGGAGCTGACGTAGAAGAGCGTGTTGGTCAGCATGTACAAGTAGTGGTAGAAGTCGTACAGGAATCTGGGGGGCGAGGGAGAGGCGCTCAGACCGCGCGGACCCCACAGCCGCCCACACCGCGGGCTTGGGACAAAAACCGTAAAAACTACTTGTAAATTTTTTGACATGGGGATGTTTCATAAATTCCAGGTTCTGGCTTCTCTGGAGAAGTTGGAAGTTCTGCCCACACTCCCACTGGCACCAGTCTGCGGAGCTGGGTTGTGGTTGCCCTGCTAGGCCCGTCTCCACCTCTCCCTGCAGGACCCCTGGCCTGCCCGGTGCAGCCTGGCATGCCAGGGCTGCAGGGAGCGGCTGGTCCCCGGCCTCCACCGAACAGCCCGGGCAGGAACCCCTTCCTTGCCTCCTGGGCAGCTGCGTACCTCGCCCTCAGCTTGCTTGCCTCCGCTCGCAGGGACCTCACTCCCTCACCAGGCAGCTCACTTTACCAGCAGGCAGCCCTGAGTATCAGAAACCCTTCCCTTGGGGCTGTGCTCTGCTACGTGCACCTTCTCCTCTGTGCTAGATCCGCCCTCCCCAGTGGTTCCTCGGCACTGAGAAGAACCTGGGAGCCCAGGCTCTGGGCTGTGCAGAAAAAAGCTCCCATGGTGGGCCCAGGGCTGTCCTCTCACAAGGGCCTCCTGGCCAGGCTGGCCTTGCCACTGTCTGGGAGCTTGGATTTCAGGGATTCACCGTTCCCTGAGAGGAGGGGCTCCCTAGGCGTAAACTGTTTGTGCAAACAACATGGTTGATGCCGAGCAGCTCCTTCCCCCTGGGAGTCTGGAATTCGGGCGCTCGCCAGCCAGGGGTGCTTACATGACTGGCCCCCAGCAGAGGCCCTGGGCGCCGGGCCTCTGGAGAGCTTCCCGGGAGACAGCATTTCTCACGTGGCCTCAGCTCGTTCTGGGGCAATTAGCCCGGGGAGGGGGTTCTGGAAGCCGTGCCTGGTCTCCCAGACTCCTCCACAGGCTTTTCCTTTTACTGATTTTGCCGTGTGTCCTTGGGCTGCGATAGGGCACAGCGTGGGTGTGGCTCTCCCTGAGTCCGGGGAGTGTGCCTAGCGACTCCCCCAGCCTGGGGGTGGTCTAGGATGGCCAGACAGCTGCTATCACCCCCCCCAAATCCAGCAGAGCCAGCCCTTCCTTGTCACTCTCCAGATGTCTCTAAACTTGTCTCGTTCCC